CATCCATCCATCCATCCATCCATCCATCCATCCATCCATCCATCCATCCATCCATCCATCCATCCATCCATCCATCCATCCATCCAATGGCATTTTCTGGCAATCAGTTGATCTAATATGGATTTTTTCTTGGATCATTGCAGAAGGATGGGGTACCGGGAAAAAAAAGTCCATTATCCAGGTTTGCCCGGAAGATAGTCTTTCTCAGAGCTTCTATAACCAGATTACACATCCCTCGGCTGATTCATGAGATCCTCCAAGCAAGCACATGATGCTAAAAGCTCCTAACTCTTTCTCTCAGGCTGACCATGGTGACCCTATGGAGGAAGCTCATTTACTGTCTTTTGGTCATAACCTCTCAGCTGATGGTTGAAACATAAAAGCACTGGGAAATACAAAGCTTTTCTAAGGTATCTGGTTTGAGAATCTCAGTCAGGATTTGTCATTTTTGCAGATGATATTTGCCTTTTTTTGTCTGTCTGACAGTGAGGGGTTTAACGGATATTCTAATCAACCCCTCAGACTATCGTCATAAACATGGCCCAAACTACCACACAGCTCATGCGAGGTATGCATACCACTTATACCCGTAGATGCATATCCTACTCATACCATCAATTGTACTGGAAACAATTTGCCTCCATCTAGTGGTCAGAGTTATGCTCAATCATGTCACATTTTCTAAATTTTTTTATCAAGTATTTCTAGTTGGCTCACAATACCTTCATGTTACAATAACTTCATGTTTTTATTGCAGCAGCTTTGATGTTGAAGGAATACAAATGTTCACAATCTTCAGATATTTTTTCCAGATCTATATTCCTAATCTCTATGTAAGAAAGAAAAACAAACAGCTCAAAATGTCTAGTATTGGTAAACTAAGCTGTCATTCTTTAAAACAACCTTTTCTTCACCAGAACTAAAGTTGTTTGAAAAAAAGGTCAAAGTTCTGGAGGGATTGGTCAATGGGAAACCCAGTGACTCATTTATCCATCCAAATGCAGATACTGTAACAATATCTTAAAATCAAAATGAGCTCTGGATCTTACAGCAGATCAGTTCACAACATACCCTGGCGCCACTCAACATGTGCTGTGGTCCTGTTTTCGAATCCACTCCTTGAGCCATTTGAGCTCCCAGTCCCTGCAGGTCAGATGTTTCAAATTAGATTAGTTCAGTTTCAGAGGATACAGCTGATAACTATGAAGACTCACAGAAACATTATATAGCATTGTGAAGCATCATGTCTCCTTACAAAAATACTCACCCCTGGGTGCGATGGAGGACCTGGAGGTCCTGGTTCTCCAGGTTGACCTGGTATACCTGGTTCTCCATCATATCCTGCTGGTCCACGCAGTCCCTATAAGGTAAAAAAAGATTGACTCAGATAGGCTCTAATTCATGTATTAGAAGTTTTTGAAGAATTGGTTAAACTGAAGCATTTAAATAAAAGTTACTCCATGCTCCTATGTTTAATCTAATCCCACTGATTGACTTTAATCTGGTTTACGGATATTCGGTTTAAGTCCAAGAAAAAAATTCTACATCACTCTGCCTGTGATTTTGTTTGCTGAGGTCCAGAAATGTTGAACTTAAAGAAACCAGGCTACTTGCCAAAAGACTATCCATGTTAACCAATATGTCAAGCAAAAAAATACAATATCAAATGTGTCTGTTCCCTGGAAAGGACTTAGCATTAAACCTGGTCCATAAATAGTCAACATTGTCGAGTTTATATTATTTGAAAGGTGGTTCCAGACGGGTAATGTTCCACCAAACAACAAACGGAATCAAGGTTTCAGCTTCGTTTTTTGGAAGTAATTCCCTCCTTCATGACTTAATCTGTTCTGTGCTCATTTGGCAGCAAAGCAGGGCATTGTACAGCCACCACCCTGTTTCATA